TCGATCAAATCTGGCCAATACTCTCCAAAAAGAAGGTTTACTATGAAACCTAAAACAGTATAGAGAATTCCAACATTTCTACAACATTTAGGTTTCGTATGATATCTATGATTCACCATTGGACCGCAAGAGTCACTAGGTGTTTTGAAAGAGAAATAGTTTATAATAAAAATTGTTATAAAAAAATCTTTTCTGTTTAAACCTTGTTGATGTTTTAGTAAAAGCAACTCGGGATCTTTTCGAGAAGAAGTTATTCTTCAGATTTCGTACGCCACCTCTATTTTGTCAACCGTATTTCTTAAAAGGTTTATTGCAAAAACACGAAAAACTAAAGATTTGATAGTGATCCTTTTTTTTGGAGAGTGCAAACCCTGAGCTATGGCTATTAATCGTCAATTCCATGCTGGGCGCACACCATTATATTTGCAAGTACTTGTCCAAGTACAGGAACCACACCTCAAGTATTTGTTTACTTTCAAATTTCCGCAAGTACTTGCTCAAGCACTTATTAAATAGTATTTTTGGAAAATACTTGCGAAGTTCCTCTAATGCATGTCAAGTACCCGTTCGCAAGTACATTCAATTCTTTTTAACATATAGACAACGATCTTTTAACATATATTTAAGTGCATAATTTGTTTTTGAAACGATAAGTCATCAGTGTCCGTCAACATACCAAGAGTTCTATGTGCAATTATACGAGTTTTTGATTATTAATTTTGTGTTCATATAGCGTCTTTTAGCTTTAAGGTCAGAGATTATTCCGTCGAAGCCGAACATAATTTCCGCAGTTTGCAGCAACTTAAGCGAATGTTGATAAGTTTGGGCTTAGCTTTTAGCATGAAAGTTTTCGATGTCGTACTTTTTGGCCCAAAATTCGACGAGATGCCGTCACTGCACTAATTCTAACTTTAGACTGAAACAAGTTATCTTCTTTTCGTTTCCTTCTTTACTCTTTTACCCCTTTCCTTCATTACTGTTTAAAAGGCAGCAAAGGAGTAAAAGAGTAAAAAGAAATGAAGGAAAAAAGTGAAGAAGTACAATAGAAAAGGAGTAAAGCAGGAAGTAAGAGAATAAAGAATTTTGAAATGCTGTCTTAGAAAACTTTCACTTAGGTACACGTAACTTAGGAATTTAATTTTACGGATATCTTCATTTTTGGTGGTCATTAAAAGTTACCATTCTGTGTGCATTTCGGTTTTTTGCTATAAATAAAAAACCCTTTTCCGTTTTTTAGATCTCTATATTCCTGTTTAGCATGAAGAATTCAATGTAATTCAACGTTTTCTGAGGCTTCTATGTGTTTTCGTACCACAATTTGTGTATAACTGTGCAATGTTTCGTTCATTTTCACCGACTTCGGTTTCACCCTCATCAAAAACTTGAGTTGTCTAGAAAACCACTTTCCACACGTTTTTTCAAAAAAGCGAAAGCGAGACCTGTAGATTATTTTTGTTTCTCTACACGATGGCCAAAGTGAAATTTTCGGGGCTAATAGTGGATGTAATAGTGGGCGAACTTGCGCGGAAGGACCCAATGCCTCAAATATTCAGGTGAGGATAGACGCCGCTGATGTAATGTTGCAAGAAAAAAATGTCTCAATGTCTCGTTTTGGACTAGAAACAGATTGGGGAAAAAAATTCAAAACTGATATCCGTTCTGTAAGTACAAACTTTTTTAAGAGTAGTTTTATCCACGTATTGCAGTAGAAATCATTTACACAAATTATTCAGTCATAAATAAATTTTTGTTTTACAATTGGTTTTTCGTTACAGAGAATTCTTAATGAGAATACACCTTCTCACGACACGTACGAGCAGACCTTGTGAACTGTCACATCGCTTTTTCAGCCAGACCTAGTGGGTTATAGATTATAAACTATGCTGAATCCGAATACCATAGTGGTAGTTGCCTAGGAGCCTTTAGAGAGCGATTTTCTGAAAACCAGTTTTTCAGAAACTCTAAAAAGAAACCAAAACCTTTCTTAATGAAGCATGATTGTAGCCCGCAAATTTCTGATTAAAATGAGACACCTTCCAGTTCTACACGATCTTTCTTTGCAAAGTTATAGAATTTACAAGAAAAGCCCTAAATTTATTGTCAGCCCAAAGCTACAGAAATAAGAGAAATTAATTTCGGGCTTTTCTTGTAAATTCTGTAACTTTGCAAAGAAAGATCGTACAGGGCTGGTAGCTGCCTCATTTTAATAAGAAATTTGCGGACTGCAATCAAGCCTCATTACGAAAGGTTTTTGTTAGTTTTTAGAGCTTCTGAAAAACCGGTTTTGCAGAAAAACGCTCTCCGAAGGCCCCTGGGCAGGTACCATTGTGATATTTGGATTTAGCATAGTTTATAACTTATAACTCACTAGGTTTGGCTGAAAAGCGATGTGACAGTTCGCGAGGACACCTCCTTAGCGCGAGCGATGATCTATCCTTTGTGAGTTTTGGGGTTTTCCACACTGAGTATAATAAAAATAGGGGACTAAACAATGCTCTTTTATAATTAATATTGTCTATATTGAAGGGCGCTATTTCGATTCTCACGACCAGTCGACGGTTCGATTAATTCAAAAAATTCTACTCGATTCAGTTGGATCAAAAATGAGTAGAAATGAAATTCGTGTTAAATACCATTATCACAACTGTCCCATAAAAATGGAACCTCGTATATTTTTAAACTTGTACAATTTTATCTATGGAAGAGTGATTGCCATCAATAGATACACACTTCTGATGGGTATGTACGATCACCCAATGTACAGTTGTTAAATAATGTAAGAAAATCTTTCTTCTAGTGTTCGGAAGTATTATACCATCATGTATCACCATTATTGGCAATATTATATCTGTGCAAAATGTTTTACAAGTCAGACATTTAACCAAAAATTATTTGTCTAGTCATAGCATTGACGATACAAAACGTGTTCTTATTATTATCACAACTGAGTGTCTTTTAGCTGTGGTTTGTTCATGTTTTATCGATGTGCTACTCAGCATTATTTATTGTGAACGTTTACTCATTGGTGATGATTGTCCAATGTTTCTAAAAAAAACCTATGACTTATTGAAAGCGTTAGACTGTTTTAATTCAATGACCAATATCGTTCTTCATTGTTTATGCAGTAAACGGTTTCGTCGTGAACTTGCACGAATGATCATTTCATTCTATAGAAAAATGATCTCAGTATTTATTAAATGTTACTACTATTCTTGCTATTACTCATACTGTTGTTACTGTGGAATTTATACGAAGTCCTATGAATACTCGCATGACATCGTTGTTGAAAAACATCATTATCAACAAACAGAAAACAATACGAAAAGTCATGGAAAGATTCGTGCTAACGAATCAAAATGGAAACGGTCGCCGTTATCCTATGATAAAAGAAAATCAGTTCCGCAATCAAGACGATCGAAAAGTCAGCCCTATGTTGAATGCTGTTGTCATGTAGCAATTAATAATCAACTCTCATCATCGAATAAACGATTATCTAGAAAACTGATCAATAAAACTAATAAACTAGAACTGACATCATCAACAGCACCAAGACGAATATTTGTAAGATTTAAAGATAATCCGAGCATTATGCCGTCTACATATCCAAATTCGCTAAACAGTTATATATAACCTTGTGACGCCGTGTTTATGCGATTTTTAGCATTTGTTTGAGAACATCGACTAACAACTGAAGTCACGCGAACGGGTCTCAATCATTCATCAAATCTGAGATTGAGTTCCGTTTTTGAGCAAACAAACTCAATTCATTCATTTGCTTGTGACCATTACTACTATCGGCGCCAGAAGTTAAGTTGGATGTGTTTTGAATAACTTTTGATATCAATGAGATAGAGACCTGCGGTTTTCGCTGTTCGATAGCCAAGACTTTAGCGGAACGTTTTACAAACGGAAATAAACTTTTGAAAAAGTTGCAAAGATCGAAAAAAACATTTGCCACATGAAGGCGGCCAAATGAAAATTGAAACCTTTTTATATTGACTGTTGATTAGAGAATGAATGATTATGAGTCTAGCAATTCTTAACATAAATTAACAAAGTTTAAGTAAACGCCACAAACGATACAATTTGAACTAACCCGAAAAACGTCAGAGGGTTTCTGGAAACCTCCTGTAAAACCTTAGCCTGGAAAACCCACAATTTTGCAGTTTTACAAGCGCTATCTGATTTATGGTCATTTTCCATATATCTACCGAAAATTTGGTGTGTTTCTGACTTAAAATGGCTGACATACGGCAACTCTAGTTTTGACAGGCTTCATGCAAAAATCCGTTTTTTCATTAAAAATACCCTGGTGACCTTGAATCAACTCCTAGTCAAAAACAAACATTACCACGTTGATCAGCACATTCGATAACCTATGTTTCAGTCTTTCCGGGATCTTCCGCCGTGTCTGGACCGATTTAGCGTGGTCTCCGGAGAACCTTTCTAGGTCCGGAACCTTGTAAGCTAACGACCTGTGACTGCTCTAGAAACGAATATCTCAGTCCGGACTACCTGCCTGTGGTCTCAAAAGTTAAAATCCGAAACTTTTTTAGTGGTGTGATATCTTTCGCAAAATATCTTCGCAGGGTGCACCACCTGCAGGTGATTTTTGGGACAATAATTTTTGGTTTTTATTATTACCCCAACATTTTTCTTTCGACTAGTGAAAACGGCAGCTCCGTAGCTACATCCTAGAAGAAGTTATTAAACAAATGGCCATGATCTTTCTTTTTCGAAATGGATAATAGATTTTTCGAAAATATAAAATCTCTTGTCAATTACTCGGTGCATGCTCATTCACTGTGTGCAGAATGTAGTTTGAGCTGATTGTTTAATTTCGATATTTGATCATAAAAGGCATCTACATGGAGCAAACATCAGTAAAGCATAGTCCTTGACAACACAACCAGCCTATATATTATATGTATACTCGTTATAATTATCAATTCAGTCTTCTCTTAAGAGAACGTTCAGTTGTAAATACATTAAATCTTCATTTAGATATAAGAACATTCGGGTTTTATCAGTTTTCCTCTGACAAGTTCAATTTGTTCTTCAACTCGTTTTATATAAACATGATTGACCGGCAAAGATCTTTGAAAAATAGTTAGAGCTTGAAGTAAATTTTCTAAAGCGACTTCATATTGACAAGAATTATAATAAGCGTCACCAATTGATTGATAAGTTTTGCCGATATGTTTATGATACTTGGGTAATGACTGTTGTTGTATGTATAATGCTTTTTTGAAGTTAAAAAGGGCCATTCTGTATTCGAGTTTATCACTGTGCAAAGCACCAATACCTGTATACGCTATAGCAATATCAGGATGATCATCTGGAAGTATTTTTAATTTAATTTCCAATGATTTGTCAAGATTCTGTTTTGCCAAGTCAAACTTTTTCTGTAATCGATAAATATTTCCAATATTAGCGTATACTGTAGCTGTATACGTATGATCTTGTCCGATTGTTTTTGAAAATATATCAAGACTTTGGTTGAATTTTTCTAATGCTAAATCAAAATTGTTTTTTCTGATATATACACTACCCATACAAGAAGATGTTACAGCGAAACTAATGCGATTATTATTATAAGATTTTGATTGTAGGCCAAGAGCTGTTTTTAGTAAAAATTCGGCTACATCGTAATCTCCTTGTGAATTGGCAATATTTCCAAGGGCATGATAGCAGTGAGGAATTCTGGGATCACTATCGTAAGGAATTTTTTTTTTTTCATCAGTTTTGCCACTATGTTGTGCCGATATGTTTATGTTTAATTCATCTAATACTCGATAAAAATATTTTTTAGCCTTATCAAACTGGCCCATTTTATTTAACAAATGTCCAAGTGATAGAAGATCCGTCTCTTTATCCATTTCAGACTTCATATAATCAAAAACTTTATTAAATTCATGACCATTTTCACTGCATAACACCAATTGAATTGTCCATAGATTATCAATATTATCAAATTTAATTGTTTCTAATCTAAATACCGAACCGAGCATAAATAATACTTCCTCCTCTCGTCGATAATAACTTAAATGTTTTGTAGAGGCAAATGGTTTTGTCTCTTTTAGACGAGTATTTACTTCAATATCAAATAGAACAGATGGCATACTTGAATTAACGTTTGATTTAATAAATTGAAGGGCCGTATTTCGATTTAAACTTGTCGAAAAAAATGAATTCATACAAATACATTGTCCAATACTTAATTTCATCTTTTCAACTTCACCTGCTGACAGCCTTTGCCCACGATAAAGATGAATTATTGACTTTTTGAAACGTTCGTGTTCACGTTTTAATTGATGAAAAATATCGGCAATTAAAAATCGAAAATGAAATAACATGTCTATGTCTTGGACACGTAATGCTTTATTGAGAAGTTTATATAAACAACAATCTCGTGTATACCACCATACAGCTTTTTTTGAACAATATGTCGATTCAAATTCATTAATTACTGAATGTTCATCATAATTTTTTCTTAATAACTTAGCTAGTTCTTCATGATCAGCATTTTTATTTTCCATGCGAATTAATGCCTCAATGAATAGTTGAAACCACATAAAACTACCCGTTTCATTGGAGAGACTTTTGTGTGTCTGATCATAAATATTGATTGATGATAAATCTTCAACTTGTTCACGATCATCTTGATCTTTTTTTAGTCTAGAAATCAGTTCTTCTGACTGTGTAATGACGTCAATTATCTAAAATAGATGAGAGAAATGCAAAATAAACGATATAACATATAAAAATTGAATATACTTTTTGGTATTTGTTTGACCATTGTTGATTAGAAACTTTATCCAAACAGTATACATAGATTGAATTTAATTGTGGTAAATCATGAATATTTGGCACTATTTCACGTCCAAGACGACCACTTACAATAAGCACCACTTTTTCATTTTGAACACGTCGAATATATTGTTCGCATTCCAATAAATTATCAAATATTTTTAAAAAATTAATCACTTTTTTAAGCTGCATTTGTGTATTTAAATTATCTTTGCTGGTTTTAACTTTGGCATCGAGCCATATTAGGGTAAATAATTCAAGATTACCCTGCTGAGATGTCCTGGTAGTGCTAATTATCGTGCCAGTTTGATTCGTATCCGTTTCATCAACTTCTTCATAATCAATAGCTCGGTTAGGAATTTCATCATAGCTCTTATCAATTGGATGAATATAGGAACCATGATTAAAATTTGTCATTGAAGTGGCGCTAGAAGAAGCAGTAATAAAGTATCAACAGTACTGTTAAAGTCTTTGAAACAACCAGTTTTTCACATGAAGAACCTGCATTGACAAACGATGACTAACGAGGGAACCTTTGGACATGTCCACCTCCGATTCCAATGATTTATATGTCAAAGTGAGCTAGTAAAAATCCTAAAAGGATTTATCTCAATGCCCGTTGAAGATCCAGTTTTCTGTAAAACCAGTTTTCAGAAACTCTAAAAAGTAACCAAAAACCTTTCTTAATGAAGCATAATTGTAGCCCGTACATTTCGGATTAAAATGAGACATCTTCCAGCTCTACACAATCTTTCTTTGCAAAGTCATAGAATTTACAAGAAAAGCCCTAAATGTTCATTATCAACTCAAAGCTACAGAAATAAGAAATTAATTTAAGGCTTTTCTTGTAAATTATATAATTTTTCGAGGGCTGCGGGATTACAATTACAAAATGTAAAGTTCATACATTGCTATTATCTGTAGAATTAAGAATTCTAGAATTCTGAACTTTACATACATGTAAAGTTGCTTATTCACACTCATCCTCATCCTCAACCCCACATTCACCCCTAGAATTCAGAATTTTAGAAAATTCTGAACAAGTAAAGTTCATAATTCTAGAATTCTTAATTCTACAGGTAATAGCAATGTTTGAACTTTACATTTTGTAATTGTAATCGCGCACGTCTGAATTTTTCAAAGAAAGGTCGTGTAAAGCTGGAAGATATCTCATTTTAATCAGAAATGTGCGGGCTACGATAAAACGTTATTAAGAAAGGTTCTGGTTACCTTTTAGAGTTTCCGAAAAACTGGTTTTACGGAAAACCGGACCTTCAGCAGCCATAGGGATAAATCCTTTTAGGCTTTTTACTAGCTCTCTTCGACATATAATCCGTATATATAATACAATAATATATATATAATCTGGTGCGGGCCTGTCCATAGGTGCCCTTGTGAGGGATGTTAAATGTTATAGCTCAGATCTCAAACAGTTACTGAGATATAAACAAATCTTCGATGCGAACATTAGTCGCTGTAGTAAATTACTATAAAGTTTAGAGAAAAGAGCATGAAAATTTTAGATATCATATACACTGTAATTCTGAATTAATTTCTAGTTTATGGAAATTCGTTTTTGATTTCCTATAAACTAAAAATTTGGTATTGAATTTCGAGTTTCTTGAGAATTATTTATAGAAATTCAATCGATTTTCTAGAAAATGGATATTCGCCCAGGAATTTCTAGACTAACTACTTATTCACCTTTTAGTTTTGTAATCAGTGTAGGTATAAGAGCGTCACGTAAAGGCACTCATATTACACTTAAATCAACTTTGATAGTTTCCACTTTAAATCCCAATTCTGCCTATGCCAACAAGGATTTTGATTTAGGCAGAGACAGTGGCGGTGCGAAGGAAGGTCTCAAAATCGGAGAAGTTCACCAGAAATTTTTCGAAACCATGAGGGGATGGGATTAACCCCAATACAACCTGGTCGCTACTCGTTGCACACTCGCCGAGGAATTTGCAGTTTATGGATAATCGAAAAAGAATTTCTACTTTCTTGGAGATTATTTATAGAAATTCAACGTCGATTTTCTATAAACTGCAAATCCCTTTGCGAATTTGAAATATCTACGTCAGCTATTTATCAGCGCTATAGAATTGTTTCATAATAGTGATCAATAGAAAGAAGTGTACTCTAAAATCTAAAGCAAAAAATAGAATTATGTGAAATCTATTCAATTCATCTGAACTAAAATGAATTTATTATTCTTTTTCACTTATTTCGATAGTATTAGACAAATAAACAAGTTGATGGAAAACAACATATTCTATGACCTAGTGTCGAAGATCTGAATAATATGTGCTATTGCATATACATTATTTTCCAACTAGTAAAGACAAACAAATAAGCGCAATAATTGAAAATTTTACTTTTGTCTAATGGAATTACTTCAAAGTATAACTAGACGGCAATCAAGCTGTGCGAGATTTGCTAATTTGGTGATAAGCGAAACATTTGCATCACAAGTTTTACTGCATATTTACAATACAGTAGTGTGTATAAAGGTTGTACAATGTTAATGACTCATTTATACCCTAGTAAATAAAAATCTTAAACATTTCTTAAAATTATCTTACTAAGATCTTAATAAGGTTTAATGACTCTAGTTTCATTCACCCCTTTGTTTTGACCTCATTCATCTATATAAATAACCAAAAGTATGAGTGATTTTACAGTTATTTTTCTTCCAGACTCTGCTAGTACTTGCTCTCTCAAAAGTGTTCAACAACTTTTTAGAGAGTGGACATGCTGGTCAAGGTCCATAGTTGGACACTCGAACATATGAAATTTCTCCTCATTCTTCGCTAACAATACTGTTCAACTGCTACTTTCGATAATGCGGATTAAAAATTGAAAAATTTTCAGCAAGTCTCGAATGAATATTATTTAAAAAACGTCATCGTTCTCACTCATTTAGATCCTAACAGATTCTTATCCAACCTTGAAAAAAAAGAGGACCTCGCGAACTGTCACATCGCTTTTTCGGCCAGACCTAGTGGGTTATAGGTTATCAACTATGCTGAATCCCGAATATCATAGCGGCAGCTGCCCAGACACATTCAGAGAGCGTTTTTGTGGAAAACCAGTTTTTCAGAGATTCTAAAAGGAAACCAAAATCTTTCTTAATGAAGCATAATTGTAGCCCGCAAAGGACAGGGGCGATTATCTGATGAAATCGGTCCATGCCTAGATTTCATCGATTAATCAAAGACTAGATGTAGAATGAAGAGGGGAATATTTCTAGGTACTTACTAGACATCAGAGGCACTCTCACAGAAAAATTGGTCGAATTAAATTTGATTAAGTTTCTACTCTATCTCATATAAATTAAAGATCGTAGTTTTGGTTTCGCTCTCGGTTTCACAGTTCCTCACGACTATTATATATCATTCGAAAGCTCTTTTTCTTCGCTATATTTCTGTATATCACATACATGGAAATAGTCGTTCTGAGATTAAGTATGCTTAGAAATACTTCTGGCTATGGAAAATGATCTCCTACGTA